ATCCATTGAATATCTCCTATCAATTTTTGGAAATCATTTAAAGTTTGTACCTTGTCTTGTCTAAGCTCAGAAGGTTGTAAAGAGACTTCCTCCAAGTCAAGCTGAAATCCCAGATATTGAAAGGGAGGTTCTTTTTGCACTTTCTCTGGTGCTATCTGAAGCCCTTTGTTTGTCAAAATAAATACTGTTTCTTGGAGTATTTGCTCAAGGACTTCTAAATTGGCATGACTACAAAGAATATCATCCATATAGTGCACTAAATAGGCTCCTTTATATTTGATTCTTCAAGGCTCTAGTAGGCCTGCTATATATCTTTGGCAAATAGTAGGACTATTTTTCATTCCTTGTGGTAAAACTTTCCATTGATATCTCCGAGTAGGAGCACAGTGATTTGGTGTAGGTATAGAAAATGCAAAATATTTGCAATCATCATGGTGCAAGGGAATGGAATAAAAACAATCCTGAATATCAAGGATCCACAAGGGTTGATGTCTAGGGATCGTATTTGGTGAGGGTAGTCCTGTTTGTAAAGGACCCATGTTTTCCATTCTTTTATTTACTTCCCTTAAATCTATTAACATTCTCCATTTTCCTGATTTTTTCTTAATGATAAACACAGGAGAATTCCATAGACTAGAGCTTTTCTCTATGTGTCCTTGCTGTAATTGCTCTTGTACTAAAGAGTGTAAAGTGGTGAGTTTCTCTTGTGTCAGGGGCCACTGATCAACCCACACTGGCTCTTTTGTAAGCCAAACTAATTTATGTGCTGTTAATGAAACATCAGTGGCCCTTATGAAAAATCCGTGCTGATTGTAACAGCCATGTCTGTAAGAACATCACGTCCCCATAAAATAAGAGGTAGTCCTGCTCTGATATATGGACAGAACTTGCCACTTTTATTGTCCTTTTCCCATGTGAGGGGACGTGTAGAGACATCTGTTTCTTGATTGCCTCCTATACCTCGTAGAAAGGTGTAAGCCAATTCCTTAGGCCACCAAGGTGGCCACTGGTCTGCAGGGAATACTGATTTATCAGCCCCAGTATCAATTAACCCTGTAAATTTCTGTTTCTCTACATTTATAGTACATAGGGGATTGTCTATAGAGACAGCTTGTGTAAAAAATGCTCCTGACCTCCAGCCTGTCTGTGGGCCTTTTATTATGGTAGGATCTTCTATGTGGAATTCTGCAGTGATGGCGATGGCTTGAGCCACGCACTGTCCCCTTTCAATATAGGTATCATCATTGTTAGTGTTAATCATGGTGAGGTGAGGGAGGGAGCCTTTATACATTTGAATAACTGGAACTGCATGTGAGTAGTGCTGATCTGGGGGTGATATGGTAATTAAGGAAAATTCTGGCCCCAATTCCTGTTGGTCCATGAGTGGGACGCTACAGACAGCATGGGGTGGCAGTGTAAAATTATCTAAGCTTCTCAGTTTCAATACTCGAATTGTTTTTCTTGGGCAGCTAGAGTCATGTATTTCTTTCCCCATTCGTTTGTGAGAGGGTTTGATTCCTGTACTGTCATTCCCATGGGACGAGTATTCTGGGCTCCCGCAGAGCCCCTGCGCCCGTCTCCTAACTTGCATTCAGAAGCCCAATGCCCTAGCTTCTTGCATTTTGGACAGGGTGTGGCAGGGCGTCTTTTGTTTGACTTGCAGTCTTTCTTAAAGTGCCCTTCTCTCCCACATTGATAGCATGTTTTCCCTGTTTTTTCCCCTGACTTATGCTCTGCTAAAAATTGATTCATCAACTCAAAGTGAAAACACTGAGTCCCTACCTTTTCACATCTCCTTATCATTTCCTGTAAGGTAGTGTCCCTAGGCAAACCTAGCATGGCTTTCTTACAGTCTTCATTGCAGTTTTCTCTAAGTAGTGATTTTATGACTATTTTGGTCCCTTCTACTTCTCCCATTGTTCGTGCAACTAGTTCCTGAATTCTAGCCACAAAATCAACAAAAGTCTCAGTAGGTTTCTGCTGGGCAGCAGTCATAGATTCCTTTGCCTGCCCCTTTTCTGGTATCCTAGACCAAGCTTTTCTAGCTTGTACTGCAATTCTATGATAGCCCTCCTCAGCATATCCTAGCTGTTGGGCAGTGGTAGCAAAATCCCCTGTGCCACTCATCTGTTCGAAGAGTGCTTTTCCTTGGGGTCCAGGTGCCAATTGGTATGAAACCATATGACACTGATCTACAAATTCAGCCATCCAAAAGACAGCAGCTCCGGGCGTCAGAACTGCACGGGCTATTGCTTTCCAATCATTTGGACACAAAATAGAGTTAGAGATAACCTCTAACTGATACATTACAAAAGGTGAAGTAGGTCCATATTGGGCAACTGCTTGTTTTAGTTGCAGCAAGGTTTTAAAAGGAATACTTTCGTGCCTCCTCAGTACCTGTCCTGGCTTAAAAGGATCAGGTTCTTCAATGACCGGATAGAGGCCAATATCCCATTCACTAACATCCTCACCCTTTTCTTTTGCTTCTCTAATGCCCTTTTGTAATGGTGATTCTTCACCACTGGAAGTTGTTGTGTGCTCGCCAAGGTGGCCACACCCACTTCCCAAAGTTTGTGGCGCAGCAAAAAATTCCTTACTATCCCACTCCCGCAATCTCCGTTTCTCGGGAGGGGTAACTACCAGATTTCTTAAAGTGTCTTCCAACTCCCCCAAGTTGGGATACAAGTTTGAATAGTGTGCTGGGGTGGCCAGGGAGGGAGGTCTGTGGGACCTTCTCTTAGTTTAGGAGAGCAAGGTCTACTTGCAGAGGGAGAGGGGAGGGAGGAACCTGTCTGAGTACAGACTGGAAAATTCTGGTCTTCTGTTTGCTTTTGATTCATCAGAGCTTGTTTTGCAAGATTGTAGATGGTATAGTCTAAAAGCCTAACTTTTCCAGGGCAAGTAGCATCATACGAGGTCAGCTGCTCCCCAAAAATCTTCCATCTCCCTGGCTCAAAGCAACCCTGTTATGGGAGCCAGGGGGATACCTGAAAAGCCAACCTCACAATTTTCGAAGATCTTTTAGGTGTATAGTTATTCCCTCATTCTTCACTACCTTATATAAAGCTCTGGCGTAATTCTCCTCATCTGTGGGAAGGAGAATCCCTACATTTTGCCCCATTACGTGAAATGAAACCTTTACCTTCTCCACCCCCCAAGGACGGGAAACGTCTTGGAGACCCAATTCCGTTGGGCTGAAAGCTCGAAGCTTGCTGACGCGCTATTCATGGAGATTTTAGACTCCGCCCGTGGGGTATTTGTCAGGTCTGTCATCGATCTGCCCCACGTTGGGCGCCAGTTGTCACGGCCGCTGCAGTGGTGAGCATGAGACCAGCTCAGTGCTCAGTAACCCGGAGATGCATGGATGAGGCGGGAGACAGCAAGGTGGCAGAAGCTCCGTTTATTGAGTGCAGGCAGCTGTCTTTTATAGCCCTAGTGATGCATGTTCAAAGCGTGATCCCCCTGTGATAGCCAATCATCAGGTCTGCTGGAGCTCCTGTCAGGACTCATCTCCCATTGAGAGGAGAGCCAAACCAACTGTGGGAGCCGCATGTCAGCAAAGGAGAGGTCCTGGGAGACTTCCTTATTTTTGCCACGCAACTATGTTGTGACCCTCAGCTTCTACTGATAGAAGCTAGAAATCCCACGGAAAAGTTCCCTCAACAGAGCTCTCATGAGACTGTGAGACATTCACCCTAACATGTTAGTACCAAGGAAGGGGTAGACTAGATGGGTCACTATACTTTGGTGTAATGAAAGAATCATTGGGTAGATGAGTGCTGTATAACCACTAATAACTGTTATGGAAAAATAAAAGATATCAATAGCCTATACAGACAAAAATCCATCAGTTGAGGTGCCTAGGTGAATTCCCACAACTTGACAAGACCTCTTCCTCCTGCTGGTCTAAAATTCCTCCCCACCTCTCCCGGATTCTTCAACATATTTGGGACCCAATGTACTGGATTAATCATTTATTAGACATTTGCAGCAATGGTTTCACCCATGAGTCCTACATGTGAGGAGGTAGAGCAGGGAGGGGACAGAATTCCCCAGCATGTTGGAGGAAAGAAGAGAAAGCCAGCAGAAAATTTCATAGTCTTCATTAACATTTCTTTGGAGGAACTAGGAACAGTTCCCAGAAACACAAGGATGTTTCATCCTAGGAATTCCTGTGAGACAGTGAAAGGATCCTGATTACTCAATATCACAAAGTGACTTAAAAACTGAGAGTGAGGGGTAGAGCTTGGAACAAAGGTGAAAAATTCACCTCCTGAAGGTAATTTTGACTCATGAGAAGGTAGCTAGGGAAAAAAAAAAGACTTTAGTAAATGTAATGATATTATTTGAGGTGAGAGGGGGGCCCACTAAGAATGGAATTTGATGAGAAGAATAAAAAGCAGCAGGATAAAAATTCCATTTTCCTATAATCTTCAGTTTAGGAAACAAGAAGACACATCTTATTGAATCAGATGGATTCATAGAATGGATTAAATTCAATGGATTACAAATCCAGATTGTCACTTCAATCCTCATTCCAGAACCTCACCTATATCCTTATCCCATTTCCTAATCCTGATACCCCTCCACATCCTTATGCCAATTCCTCAGCTTGAACCCTTCCTTCCCCTTTGACACCTTCCCTCCAAGCACCATCTGTCTGACTATTCCACATCCTCATATTAATCTCTTTTACATCAACTTTTGGAAGATAGAGAAAAAGGGAAGGGAAAGAATTAAAATAGCCCATGGGAGAAAGGGAATGAGAATCACCCTCTACCTTAAGTACTACTCCATGTTAAGTACTTGCTTTACCAGAAAATGTCAGGATGACCAAGGAAAGATCAAGCACTGCCAAAGACTCTAATAGTACCTGGAAACTGGGAAGGTCTCCCCAAGTTGATCTATATCTATCCCATTTTATGCAACTGAGCACCCTGCTCTGGATTTCTAAAGAAATGTTACTCTCAGGCAATAATTCTGTGGTGAAAGATAACAGACCTGCATGCCAGGATGAGGTTCCTTACCTAAGTTTCTCACATCGATCTGTGGAGACAAAGTAATATATCCATGATTCTCAGACATGAATCCTTCTCAGAGCTTTTGTCATTATCCCAGAGGAAAGGGAAATTAGATTGTCTGGATGAGGACAAGGGGAGTCAAGCTAGGAGTGTTTTCATTCTATGAAATTCTCTCCTCTCGGTCACAAAGGGAAATTGGGGAATAAGACAGAGATGAGCAGAGCTTACCATCATTGGACAGGTCTCTAATTTGATCCTTCCTAATTCCAAATCTTTCACACATTTCCTCAAATTTCTGCTTTATTTCATCTGGCAGGTCTGGAGTCCTACCTGTAGTTAGGGTGAGAGTGAGATTCTTACTGAGTCTCTCTCACTCATCATTTGTAAAAATATATGGAGAAGGGTGTGTCTAGATAAATGTGGGGGTTAAGGATCGTGGGAAGGTTACCTATACCCTTGATCTCAGTGACTAAATTGGTAACTTTGGGGATTGGAACTATCATATGCCCTAGGATTTGATGTGACAAGTAATAAAGGAGGAAAGAAGGTTTCTTGCTGATTATCAGTAAGTCAATCTGCATTTATTAAGCTCTTGCTATGTGACAAGTACTACATGAGGCTTAAGTGATGCAAGGACAAAGGAGAGCTAGCCAGAGCTTTCTCTCAAGGAATTTACAATCTATGGGAAAGAAACAACATCTTCACAGATAAGTTAATACAAGTGTGAACTCCTATTGTTACAAAGCTCGAACACTTTTTACACAAGAAACATTAAAGATAATTACAAAGTAAAATTTTATGTGGGGGGAAACTATGTGGTGGAAGGCATTTTGAGGGATATGGCACTTCAGATGAGCCATGAAGGGAGCTAGGGAATCCAGGGTATAGAGTTAAGGTGATAGAGCAACCCAGCATGAGGGACCAAAAGTCATCTCAGAGATTGAAAAAGACCAGGATCCATGAGAAGCAAATCTGGGACACTAGGGCCATATGATAGAACAACAAAGAGAAACAGAGGACAAGGTTTCATTGCTGAAACTATTTGGACTGCTGATCATTCATCTCCCTTCTCTGAGATCTGCCCTTTTTGCTTACCTATTTTTAAAATCTGATTTTAGGATAAACATAATTAATCATTCCAATACCAAACTATATTTGTCATTCAGTGAGTCCAAGATGAAAATTACAATAATGGAGTACCCATGAGGCAAAAGAAGTAGATTTAATAGTTCAATATTAGGCCAGAGGCCTCCCTGCTCCCATTTTTTTAACTTAATAAAGACTTGGGTTGAATGAAAGAGAGTAATTATTTCATATTACCATCTTCCTGAGCAGAGAGAAAGATTTACACTTGGACCTCTCTCTCTCTCTCTCTAACCACCTTTTTTGTGACAAACACTATTCTAGGTGACAATATGAAGACAAAAAATAATGGACTTGGCTAACAAAAATTCTACTGAAGGAAGCTCAGCTTGGACAGTATTTTGTCCTTGGAAGCCTTTCTCCTAATCTTAGTCATTGTACATAGCAGTCAAACACAGTTTGGGGCATGCCCAATGCTAAAATGCTACAGGTTCTTTTTCCTTTATTGCTCTTCACTTATCATGAAAAAAGGAAGGGGGAGAGCTTTAGTGCAGGATCAGAGGATACTTACCATAGAGTACTGCCCAAATGATCATCTTCCCATTGTGGACATTATGCAAGATATACATAGCATGTTTAGAATCGCTACTTTGAAGGGAGAAATCATTCAGTCCATCATCTGTGAAGCATTCAAAAAGTCAGGTCAGAATTTTGATACTACAGGAAAAAAGGCAAAGACTTAAGACTTATTGGTAATTGAACATCATGAAAAGGCTTCAATTCCATCATAACCTTTGACATGCTGACCGAACTGCTATTCTGTTGAAAAACCTATATTTTTTGTCAAAATTCCTACTATCTGCTTCTAGAGTCACTGAATGTTAGAAGTGGAGGGAATTTTGGAGGTCACCTAATCCAATCACCTCACTTGACTGATGAGGAAACTGAGGCCAAGAGAGGGTAAAAAGCTTGTTCCAGGTTATACAATGAGTTAGTTTCCATTTCAATCACTGAACAGCTAATCAGACCTCTGGAGCCCTGTAAAAAGGAAATGAAAAGATCAGAACATCTCATCTAAGATTTGGACAGTGCAATCAGAAGGGAATTAAAACAGGGTAGTGGAGGGATGTCTTGAGGGACATTAACACGTCCCTCCACTACCCTAAAGGGAATTGTTTTGTATGGTCTGACCATGAGCCACTTCTTTGTTAAGCAATGGGTCCATTAATTCATTCATTTCAGAATAATACTGAAAATACTGAGATCAGCATCTCTACTTACAGTAAAAACACATTTGATCATCATCTCCTTTGAAAGCAGTCAAAGAAAATTGAATGCATTTGCCATTTTCCCTGGAAATAAAGATCAGGATTACAATGACACCTCATATTTGCACAGGAAATTTTACTGTGAAACACCCTTTTGCATTTATTTTATTAATTTTAATTTTGTCCACAAAATGTATACAATTTTTTTCATGTCTTACATTCATATTATGAATAATGCCAAATGTATAGCAATGACTAACTTCTCAGAAGTAATTAAACTGAGTTCACCATTTAAAAATTGTGGGATATTTTAAATTAAATCTGAATTCTTTGAAAATCTGGAATCTCTGGTAAGGTGGATGTGATGATATTCAGTTAAGCAAAATGCTTGATTAGACAGAAGAGCTCTCTCTTTAGTAGTTCTTCATATAAGTACTTTGGGATAATCACTAGGCTTTTCAAAAGTCAAGTGAAGATGAATGCAGTAAATCTGGGTTCAAATCCTGGCTCTTCTCCTTACTATGTGACTTGGGCAAGCAAGTCACAACTTTTTCTGAGTGTTAGAATTCTCATCTGCAAAATAGGGTTAATAATTTTCTGGTTTATCTCATAGGCTCATTGTGGAGAAAACCTATAACCTCTTTAATCTGAAATATATAAACATGAACTCCTTTTATTGTATTTTATACTCACAACATCTCAGGAGAATAGCAAATAGCAATTCTCCCTATTTAATGAATATATTTGAAATAATCTAAACTCATTAAAAAGAAGACAGAAAAGTAAGTCAGAAGAAAAGACAGGACAAGGAATAATCAGAGTTTGGTAAACCTGAAATATAAATTACCTGGAAAAGAACTTTGTATTTAACAAGAATTTCTGGAGAAATAAGAAAGTGGTCTGGCAGAAATTAGGTTTCAGACAATATGTTACACTGTAAATTTATAGTATAATTCATAGGATATAAGGTGGAATATTAATAGTCATAAAAAATTAGAAAAAGTTATGTCAAGTACCTTTCACAAGTATATCTAGGAGGACATTTTCTAGTGTATGAAATTGAAAAGCTTTTGCTTGAACAAAGGAAAATAACAAGGATAAGACAGGAAACAGCTAGGAAGAAAAAAAAACCTTTAGATTAAATACATGTAAGTGTAAGATATCTAAGATATTGGTAACTTTATAGAAATATAATGGACTCAAAGCCATTTCCTAGTAGATAAATAATTGAAGGATAGAATGACAATAATAAAAATAATAATAGCATTTACAGAACATTTATTTTGTGCCAGGTACTGTGCTGAGCAATTTACAAATATTATCTCATTTGATTGCCACAAAACCTTGTGAAATAGGTGCTATTATTATTCACATCTTATAGATAAGGTAACTGAGGCAAACGGAGGTGAAATGACTTGACCAGGATCACACAGCTAGTAAATATCTCAGGTCAAATTTGAACTCAGGTCTTCCTGTCTCCAGACCTAGCACTCTATCCATTGAGCCACTTAAATATCTCAAATGTAAATGTAAACAAAAATTATCAGAAAAAAATTACAAACTATTAACAAACAAAAGAAAGAATGCTCTAAATCACTAATGATAAGAGAGATGCAGATTAAAACAACTCTGAGGATTTACCTCAAATCCAGCAAATTGATAATGACAGAAAATAGGAGTAGTCACTATTAGAATGGCTATGCAAAGATAGAGGAAATGTGTTATCATTGGAGCTGCAAATTTGTCTAATTGCTTTAGAAAACAATTTGAAATTATGTTAAGAAAAAGACTGAAATGTCCATACCCTTTGACCCAGAGATCCCAAGGCTAACCTCTCAAGGAGGTCAATGAACAAAAGAAAAGCCCTTTATAAAAAAAATGTTGATAGTACTTTTTGCAGTAGGAAATTCCAAGAAAGTTTATATCCATGAATTGAGGAATGGCTAAATAAGCTACAGCAAATTTCAGAATCAAGTGGGTATCTTTCTTCCCTCTCTCTCACTCTTCTTTCTATCTTCTTAGGGAAGGGACCTCAAGTATCCCCTCTTTGCTTCAAAATGGAGACTGGTGAATCAGAGAGGTTTGGAACAGAAAGAAAATAGTAGTTCCCCAGATGGTCATTAAAAAGACCCAAACTTCATAGAAAAATACTTACAATCAGTCCTACCCTCACCCCTGCACACAAGCTTCAAGTAGACATCAAGCCTATTAATTACATTTCCCTTCAGTGGTTGCCCTTGATGGCCATAAAACCAATCACATCCTAGGAACTTCATCATTAATTGATACCTTCGTCAGCCTGTATGGGTTAAGGGATCCCAGAACTGTTATCCAGGTTTTTGTCCCCTCTTCCATATCCACCAACTAATACTGGTAGTACTTACCTTTTGAAGAAGACTCCAGTGAAAACGCCACCATGTTTATTGGTGCTTTTGACAAATAGCTTTAAGCTACCTCCTTCCTCAATTTTAGCTGTCACATTTGAGGTCAATGCAACAGTGAACCGCTCTCCAAGAATCTGGGAAAGAGTTTGGATGAGAATTGAAAAAAATAGTCATCCCTGGTAGCATAGAACCATAGTATCTTAGAGTTGGGAAGGACTATCATCCAAACCCCTCATTTTACAGGTGAGGAAACTGAGGCCTCAAAGGTGAAGTATATCCTTACCCCAATCTTACCTGGTTCAATCATTGTCTTCATAGTACAATAGAAAGATCATGCCACTAAGAGTTAAGATATCTGAGTTCAAATCTTTGCTATAATACTAATTCACTCTCTGACTTTTGGCAAGCTATTTAACCTTTCAGTGTCTAGTTTTGTTCATCTGTCCAATGGGACGAATTTTAACTGTATTGTGTATTTCATGGCATTAACCCAGAGATAATATTATTTTCCCCTCCTCTTAGTGCATATCTTGGACTTAGATGTTACTGATAATTTCCGCAACAATTTGGGGAGTAAGGTGAAAGATTGCCTCAGGAAGATGAATGATCTCTACTTATGAAAAAGTTGTGTCCATTCTCTGACTCTAATCACTCATTGTCATGGAGGATTTTCTTTCCTTCTTCTCTACCTAGGTCTGAAGTAACTCCCCATGGCAGAATTCACGTGGCATCTAATCCTAGCATATGTGCAGAACCAAAGCTGTCACGCTACCATCTGAATCCCATGCTTGCTCATTTACCTTTGATGTGTCTTCTATGTTGTTTTTGAGGGCCTGGAGGCCACAGACTAAAGCCAGCCCCACAGTCAGCAGTAAGATCTTCATATTCTCAGGATTTTTCTCTGATGCTTCAGCAGCAGCTGAATGTCTGAGGATTCTGATGAATACTCTGGGCTCTCTGGACAGTTGCCTTTATACCCCATTCTTTGGTGGGGTTCCTGATGATGTGGCACTAAGGGAATCTGAATACCTCAAAGTCTAATTTATTCAGAGTCACTAGCCAATGAGTAACTGCTAGCCAAAAATCCTAAGGACAGATTAATAATGTGCTTTTTGCCAACAAAAAATTAATAATTCTGAAATGAGAATTTCCAAGATCAACAGCCCGTATTAGGTTGGGCTAACTTCCTTGGACCAACTCTATGTCTATCCTGAGTTCAGAGAATACAGTCTCTATATTCTTTATTCTTGTGGCAGTCAGTCAGGCAATTAACACTTGCTTACAAAACACCTAAGGGATGTGGAGTCTTTTCTTAGGCAATGTCAGAAGAGTGCTCAAACAAAGAAATATCTCTCACCACTATCTGGAGCCTTTCTCTCTAGTTGTAGAAATTCAGTAAACATTTATTAAGGGCCTACTGTGTGCAGAGCAAAATATAAGGCATTTGCCAAACTGAAATGTTTGGACTTGATCTCCTTTGTGGTACTTATAGTCTAGTACACAATGAAGTGTCCTAAAGACGATCTTCTTTTGGTCCTAATCCTTGAATTTAAACGGAATTCCCTTTAATGGGAATTCCCAGAAATGAAACTCCTTCTACCAGTACAGCACAATAGCTCCTTGACAATTTATCATATTAAACAGTTATCTAGGGGGTTACAGAGAGGTTAAAAGATCTGTCTGAATTCACTGTGTTAACTGGCATAGGTTTTGTGATGAAAACTAATCTAGTCATTAAGCTTATTGTCAAAAGGAGTGAACAACATTATGATGACAATGTGCCCTTTTCAGGAAAGTGCCATGCCACTATCATCAGTACATATGCTCCCTCCCTGACAAACCCAGATGAGGTCAAAAAAAAATTTATGAAGACATGGAGACCCTCATCATCAATGTGCCAAAAGAGCACAAGTTTATAATTCTGACTGACTTTAATGCCAGAGTAGGCACATGCTATTAGACATGGCAAAGTGTCTTTGGGAGGAATGGAGTCAGAAATAGCAACAGTCACTTACTACTGAAGACTTGTGGGTCTTATGACATTCTCATCACCAACACCATCTTCCATTTGCCTAAATGCAATAAAACTTTGTGTATGTACCCTCACAGCAAACATTGTCATTTAATAGACTATATCATTGTAAGGGGAAAAAATAGATAGGATGTGAGAGTGACAAAGGTGATGTATGGCACAGAGTGCTTGGATGATCATAGATTTATCCTCTCCAAGTTAAACATTTCACATTGAACAAAAGTGTCAGCCTTGAGGCAAGATGAATATCAGAAGACTTAATGTCAGCAGATTAGAGTGCTTCTCCCAGGGGGAACAATTTATTGCTAACTTGGAGGGAAAGCTGAGCCAACACACAGTTGGCAAAAGTGGAGCAGAAAAGCAATAGGTAGATTTCAGGGTACAGTAAATGCAGCAGCATTTACTCATCTGGGCCAGAACACTTGCAACTGTCAAGATTGGTTTGACAAAAATAAGGGGGAAATTCAGAAACTGATAAATGAAAAAGGAGAACTCCACAGGTTTTGCCAACAGGATAGTTCATCTATCTATAAGAAGGCAGGTTTAACTCCATCCAAAGCAAAGTGCAAGTGAAGCTTAGAGAGATGCAGAATTCTTTGCTCAGAAAGAAGTCAGATGAAATTCAGTTTTACACTGATAGTAACAATCCAAAGTGCTTTTATGATGCCCTGAAGGTTATCTATGAGTCAAAGACCTATGGTGCATCTCAGCTACTCAGTGCTGATGGAACCACATTGATTAGTGATAAGGACATGGGCTGGAGAGATGTGGTGAACACTTCTATAATATTCTCAAGAGACCATCATCAATCAATGCTGAAGCCACTGACTGTACACCTCACGTTGAAGTCAATCTCTCTCTGGCTGAACTTCTGACTGAAGAAGAGGTTTTGAATGCCATTAGGCTACTCTTGTGTGGCAAAGTATTTGGTTCTATTTTTATTCCAGCTGAGATTTAAAAGGCAGGGGGCCCACTGCTCACACAAAAGCTGATGAAAATTTTCCAGAGGCAAGAGGAGATTATCCCCCAGGATTTCAATGATGCCTTCCTTGTCCACCTCTACAAAGGTAGAGGGAATAGATTGTCCTGTGACAATCATAGGTGGGTCCTTCTCTTAGTCATTGCTAGCAAGATTCTTGCCAGAGTCCTCCTTAATAGGCTGATCCTTCACCTGGAGGATGATCATCTACCTGGGAGCCAGAGTGGTTTCAGAAAGGGCAGAGAACTGGTTAATATGGTGTTTGCTACCTAACAACTCCAGCAGAAATGCTAGGGGCAGAACAGAGGTCTATACACAAAATCCATTGATCTGACTAAGGCCTTTGATATTTTCACTCATGAGGGCTCGTGGAAAATTGTGGTAAAATTTGGATGGCCAGAGAATTTCATCAGTAGTGTACATCAGTTTCATTATGTACACTTGCACGGGTTCTGGATAATGGACAATACTCTCACGACTTTCCAGTCACCGCCAGAGTAAAGGAAGGCTGTGATGTTTTCAGCAATGTTGTCAGATGCCTTCAAAGAGGACAATAACAAAATTGAAGTCACTTAACACACTAATGGATGATAAATTATTTAACTTAAAAAGGCCACAAGCTGAGATTAAAGTGGAGGGAGAGAGAGTTGGTGAATGGTTTTTGGTTCACAGATGATTGTGCACTCAATGCAGCCTCTGAAGCCAAGATGCAACAAATTATGGATTGATTCTCTGCTGTTTGTGCTCATTTTGGCCTAACAACACCATGAAAACAGAAGTTCTCCTCTAGTCAGCACCTCACCATCCACATATCACACCATCAGTTACAACAAATGGAGAAATTTTTAATGCTGTGGATAAATTCACTTACCTTGGCAGTATACTTTCTAGTGATGTCCTCATAGATGATGAAGTTGACATAGGCATTCTCAGAGATGGCTCAGTGCTTTGGAGGCTCTGAAGGAAAGTGTGGGGAAGAAGAGGTATTAGACTGCCTACCAAACTGAAGGTCTACAGAGCCATTGTGCTGACCTCATTGTTATATGCCCGTGAAACATGGACAGTATACCAGCCCCATACCAGGAAACTGAATCAGTTACATTTGAATTGTCTTAGGAAGATTCTGAAGATCACCTGGCAAGATAAGGTACCCAATGTTTAGGTCTTTTTTTCAAGCTGAATTGCCAAGCATTCAAACTCTACTGAAGAGAGGGTAACCCAAATGGGCTGGCCAGGTAGCCCAAATGCCAAAAATATGTTGCCTAAAAGATTATTTTATGGAGAACTCACACAAGGCAAGCACTCACTTGGAGGACAGAAGAAGAGATACAAGGACACTCTCAAGGTCTCTCTGAAAAATATTGCAATCAGTTGGAGAAATGGTACAGGCCCATCCAGCATGGCATGCTCACATCAAAAAAGGACCTGTAATAGACTCAAGTATGATGTAATTCTAAAAAGTAAAGCCGTTTAGGAAAAGGTAAAAAGAGTAATTATCTTATACAAATGAGGTGTGAGAGGAAGAACTGACACAGAGGAATTAGATGGGGAGGAGGGCTGGTAGTTCTGGAACCCTACTCTCATCAGGAATGGGTTAAAGAGGCAACAATACATAGATATCTAGAAGGGTATAAAAGTCTTCTAAATTCAGAAAGAATAAAAAGCTAAGGAGATGGGGAGGGGGAAGGGATTTTTAGAGGGAATCCTGTTCACATCAGATCTGTGTTAGAGAGAGAACATTATATACATTTAGAAGGGAACAAAAGTCTTCTAAATTTATACAGAAATAAGAGTGTGAGGGAATAGGAAAAGGGGGGGTATAGAAGGGTGTCTAGATCAACAGGAATGGGATAAAGAGGGAATAACACATATCTGGAAGGCTGTGCAAGTCTTCTAAACTCGAATAGAAACAAGAAGGGAAGGGGAAGGGATGGAGGAAGAGGATAAAGGAGGGATCTTTGGAGGAGGGTAGATTAAGTAATAAGAGGGCAAGGTAGCAGGTAGAAGTAAAGTAGAGGAGTCAGGAGGGATAGGAAATAAAAGATACACACAAACATAAAATAAAGATCAGGAATAGAATTTGTTAGGGAAAAAAGTAGTGTAGTAATCATGATCTAAGGCAAAATTAAAGCTAAAATAGATTTGACCAAAAGAGGGAAATAGGGAAATTACACTATATGTCAACCATATTAATCAATATTGTTTTAGACTATTTAAAATAACTAGACAGTATAAGGTTGGAACATTGCTGTGGTGTAGGAAATGACAAGTTGGTGGACTTAGAAAAATATGCAAAGACTGGGACTTATGAAGGAAGATGTCGTCCACCCTCAGAGAAACCGAGGACAAACAAGTAGAGCAGTCTTACATAGATGCATATGAATGTATATGTCTATATATGAGTATGAATATAGATATCTAAATATATGTACATATATGTAAGTATATGTATGCATATTTATGCTTGTGTGTATATGTGTATATGTGTGTATATATGTGTTATATATATATATAATGTATATATAAATGTATTCATGCTTAATTGTAGCCTTCTTGGGGAAGGGGTGGAGGAAAGGGGAAAAAGAGAACAAAGTAAAGAGAGCACAGCAGAGAATAAATGAAAACTTACAAGGAAGCAAAGAAAAGATGGATAGCTCTGAATACAACAAGTAGTATTTATTATATAAGCTTTCTTGAAATGGAATTTTATTGCTGTATATTTTGAATCCTCTTTTATGTTCTGCTGTGCACATGGCAATGCTTTTTTTTTTCTATTCTTATTTTGTATTTAAGTTTCAGTATTTAAATTTATAATATTTCTTTTCTTATTGTGTATTTGAGTTTAAAATAAATTAATTTTTAAAAAGTAGCTGTACTCTATGAGCAAAACTGAGTTGCAGCAACTCAAAAGAAACACGAAATACACACCTTTAGAAACATCTCTACTCCAAAAGTCCACATGGACTATTTGTGCCCAACCTGTGTTAGAGCGTTCCAAACTCATATTGATCTGATCAGCCATAGTCAGTCATAATGTACCTTGATCCCAACATAGTGATGTCATTTTCCTCTCCAAGAATGAAGAACAACCAAGCAGCCAATCTCTGATGTTGTCCTTAC